AATCAGTCAGACTGCCATGGACTTGATTTCCCACCCCACCCTCTCCCCCGCTTCCCTCACTATTGTCCGTTTTACCACTGTAGTTATCAAAATTTGCTTGTATAAATACCAGATTGTTTTACGTTGTAGCGACTGAAGAGATTAAAAGAAATGTTAACATCTCGCGGTATTTATCTTTTTCTATCCTTCAAAGTCATCATCCACTAACAGCACACATGGTTGTCTGAGCATCGTTGCAATCAGCTTCAATCACCAAGTTTGAAACCACTTAGATACAGCAGATTGCCAGAAAATTCACTCTCCATTACCTCGAAACAATTTCACGGTTAATAGAAGCTTTGCCGTTTGTCGTCACGGATTCATTGACTTCCTATCCGACCGGTATTCATAAGACTATGGACCTCGATCAAAAAGGTTGCGTAGAACTCTCCACAAGCACACCCCAAACGGGCACAACAGATTCAAACAAATGAAGCTTGTTTGATCGTCTTTGGGGCAATGATTTATAGTCTAATAGTTTAATCTCACTGAGCTCTGGTTGAGCCCGATTACTGCTAACCACGAACTGGTGTTAAGCAATCCATCGTGATCGTCGTCGTCATCACCATACTTACAATCAGGTCTCTTGTGATTCGTTTTTCCAAGCTTCATATTCCATGTATCCTGTCTCTTTTAAGTCTCACCAAGACGTAATGATCGATACGTGCGCCTTTTGACTAGTCCGCAATAAGGTACAGAGAACACGGTTGGAAAAACGACAGTCAGAGTATATTATTGATCATGACGCAAACACAAATATGTAGTAAATTGGACGTACCATAAACGACGTGGTGACTCCAATCAGATCGCGACCTTGACACCTAGGTTGATCGATCGGATGACAGCTGTCAGATTCGCCTTAGTCATCCAATCCGGAATCGATTAGACTTCCGGCGTCGTGAACGCACTTGTGGTGTCACGCGGATCGATGTGTGCCTGGCGGGTTCTGTGCACTCTGTCTTAACACAGACACATATTATCATGAAAATTTGATCTGATCAGTCGAGGATGCGGATGAGGAGGAAGTGATTAAACAACCTTCCTTTGCGTACGGATTCCGGAATCACACCCATATGACCAACTGACCAAGTTCTCTCTGCCAAGGTGTGTGGTTTGCGTTTGTCATGTGTATGTGTGTGTATATGTGTGTGCGTATGTGTGTAATAAAACAACAGCAACCATAACAACAATAACAACAGCAAGACAGATGATCGATCAGGATTGCGTTTGAATAGATTGACCCCTTTTCTGTCTGTGCCCCACCGTACTGCACTTTAACCATCCTCGCACGCGCGCTCACTTTCTGCTCACATACGAACACACGGATAAACAAATGCGTGTGGATCAAAACACACAACAGACGCACGCGCGCACTCAGTAAACTCGCTCCATGTACAAACAGATGTCAAGGCCAGGGCTGTTTGGGTTTTTCAGAAAGCTCAAGCAAGCACTCGATTCGATGATCTCCATTGTGTAATGCTGCCCCACCGTCTAACGATCGATATGTGGGGGATTAATCCCATAAAGTTGAATGGTAAGCTTGAAAATTAACTTAAATCGATGACAGTCCGACAGTTTCAACCATCCAATTGGGAACACCTATGTATATCAGATAGTTTGATTGCATACCCGCCTAGGATCACGTCGAATCAGTCAAAACTGTTTTGGTCTCCAGCGTGCATTGGGTGCTAACCTGTAACCATGATACAATGTGTACCAACACAAGTTCAAATAAATGCTGTATAGCACGATATGTCGGACAAGAGTTTGTGAGTAGTCATCCCTCAAAGGAGGTTGTACCTAAATTTGTGACCTGTTCGTTGCAAGATCAATTTGCTTCGGTGTTCATTTTCTTGTCGTTGTTGTTGTTGTTGTCGACGTGGTCGTCGTCGTGCGTACACATGCGTGCACTGACTGCGGGTAGCCGTGATTGTGTGCCGTTTCTCCCCATCCACCCATTCCTACCTCCCCGCCAAATTCCCCAGGGTGGGCAGATCAGATGCAGTGAAACGGTGCGCGGAGACGAGAAGCTGAGTGACTCATCGAATTACGAAACCTGGTTTGTCTGTTGCAGTTGTGGCTATACGTGATGTGGTGGCCCCTGTCATCAAGCTTGAGCTCCATCCTGATGTACACGTGTGTGCATAAATANGTGTGTGTGTGTGTGTGTGTGTGTGTGTGTGTGTGTGTGTGTGTGTGTGTGTGTGTGTGTGTGTGTAGGATCAGGGTTGTGACGGCTGTGTATGTCCGAGGCAATATCTGGTCTCGAGGGGCTGACAGTGGGGGATCGGACGTATGACGGAAAGGCAGTCGTCACAAGGGAACATATCCACTCCTGGGTACACATGAATCGATAGGCATGTGTATTTGTCAGAGGCAGGATGTACGTCTCCACAGGCCGCGCTATGGGGCAGAAAAGCAACGTTAACCCTCCGGGTGAAGAAGGTACCATCGAATGGGGTTAACAAGTTCCCGAAAGTCAGAAAAATATGGTTTTTCCCGCCTCCCAGATGCGCATCCACACCAATCTTCTCAATCGATCAGTGAGCATGAGTGGGAAGAAGAATGATATGGAAACTGTTCGTCCGGTTTCAGTTCCAAGCTACCGCTTGGCCGCGATGAGAACAGGGGTATTTAGGGAACGAATACTGCGGTCGGAAATCCCGTCCCGCACGCCAGCCCGAACCGAACGCGTAGGACAAAACAGCCAGTAAGTCATGCAAGGGAATAAACGTGCATGCCCTTGTTGATGCGATCAGACACGCAAAAGGGGAAAGATAGAGTATAATTTGGGAAATGTGTGTGTGTAAGAGAGAGAGAGACTGCAAACCGGTTGTGCGAGAGGAGGGAGGCTGGTGATGATAACTTCCGACTTCCAGTTTTGCAATAGACAATAATCTGAGTTTCCATGTTCATAAGCTGCCCGAGTCGGCTGGTCTGAAATCGATCTTTGCCAAATTATCCGAGTTCATAGGGCATGAAATTCTTCAAGCGTGAATGTTCATCTGTCAGACGAAATTTGTCCCGCCTCCCCTGGTTGTCCTTCATTCTCGACTGTGTGTGGGACTAATAGCGATTCCCTTAAATTTTTCGGTTCCACACCAAAAATAATTGACAAAGAGAGAAAAGGGAAAATTAATCGTCCACTGAACCGGACTTTTCAACCTGCAAATCCATCAACTACTTTTCCCAAAATAGGTAATTTACCCGTAACGCCGCTGTAGTTAGATAATGTGACTTACGGAATGTCAGTGCGCCGGGTAAAATGGTTCGATGGGATAATGAGACGGTTTCCGTGTCTAATAATTTGTGTTTCCGGTACACAGGCATGCCTGGGCAACAAATATGGTCATTCATAAACACACACACACGCACACACGCGTGCACACACGAGTTCGAGTCCCGGACATGGTCAAGATTTGATCTATAAAACCGATTGGGATGAATGAACCTCGGTTCCTATCACGAATCAGTACAGTCGAGAATACACGTTTGGCTCCAAATAAATTGTGAGAAATAAGTTGTGGACGAAAGTGTTTGTGATATTTTTCTCTTTTCCTTGGTCTGTATCCATCAGGATTGGTCATATTATCTGGCATGGAGACATTTATCCATATAATCGGACGTAATATTCACATAGGCGTCTTTAATGCGCAAATGATCGCTTGGCTGTATTTCACAGTCTACCTCTTCTCTTCTCTTCTTGCTGCAAACAATTTTCTTTTGCTTTTTCTAATAGACACGATAACGCAAACCTATGCATTACGTGAATCACCGAAAAATATTGTCTGGCAATTATTTTATCTATTCACGATTATCTTGTCTCATCATCATCATCATCATCATCATTATCATCATCATCATCATCATCATCGTCACCGCGCACTCAACGCCGTCAACATTTGAAATTACATCGATCAAGCTCTCGCACTGACGAACTGGGGTCACGTGATGTCAAGCACCACACCACGAACCAACCAATTGATTCATTGTCACTGCCACCTCACCTGTACGAGATTGGTCAGCACGTATGTGCACGCGCGCTGAGTGCTCGGTATGGAAACCCCTACCGTCCCAAGGTATGGAGCGTATCGTTGTTTCAAAAATGGCTTTTCTATTGCCTGTCGGTCTAGTTGAGGGCAAATGGCAACTGTTTCATCCCTGTTTGGACTCACCAGTAATGGTGGACTCAAATCGAGGATCTTCGTGTTGCAAGACGAAACCCTCCCCCACCCCGGTACGCAGCTAGAACTTTGACAGCTTCACTGTATCAACTAATTTGGACATGTTCTTGGTTCAGCCCGTGCTACTCAACGGATATCACGGTTTGCGTATTGGAATTCCGTCACTTCATCACTCGCGTCATATGTACTGCGGTGATCCTAGCTTACGGGATAATGCTAGTCACGGAGCGACGGGTTACAATCTCCCTCTGGATAACAATGGTGAGTCAACCCTCCCAGATGACGCCAATCAAGCGCCAACTCGTTCGAGCCTTTGGACAACGAACCACAGACGAAACGTACTGACCAATTAGAAGTTGTGCGGTCCAGACAGAAGCTATATGACGTGAAGAATACAAGCAGACGATTGGTGGATACCTGTATAACCGATAAAATTCCTTTGTACATGTTATTTAATCCCAACGATTCCACTAAACGAACTGCTACTTCTGTGACCTTTTCCTTGTGTCTCGGCTAAGTGAGACACCAGAGTGCATGTACAGCCTTTCCGTGGCACCCGTGATTCTTGTTAACTGATTCGTGATTCGTAATTCGCAATTATTGATTTGTGTGCCTAATTCAACTACTGCCGTACACAACTTCACCACCAATTGCATTCTAATGCAAAAATACTATACTCACCACTTCTATGGACCTAGTTCAGTCAAATGAACAGAACTAGAGGGGAACTGATGAGCATATGATATCAAAATAAAGACCGTAGTCTCCATGGTCTCGCGTGGGTTTTCTCACGAAAAGTGTGTAATTTTTTCCCAAGCTGCGTCGGTAAAATCCAACTCTGAATCCCGATCTAAAATATTCCATGCACCGTGACCAGTGATTTTATTTTGTTGGTTCCGAGCCTCTGTTTATTTTGCCTGATGAAGTTTTCTGCATTACCAACTTCAAGTTTATTTAGGTTAAGCTTTGTCCGTTACATACAATTGTCATACAATTGTGGTTCAGCGAATTTTTCTATCTCCGAATAAACTAATTAATCAACCTACTTGGTAATTCNGTAATTCATATCACATTACAGTGGCAACAAGTGTCCACTTTCTCTTACATTCTCAATTTGTGTGTGATAGTGTGATATCACGTGGTACAAACTGATGAATAATCGAGGTATGATTATACAATTGAATTCTCTTTCTCTTTCATTATTCCCTTAGATATGCGTGACAGGATTCATTGGAACTTACTTCTGTTTACAACAACGAATTTCCCGAACCAATCCACAAGTCACCTTGGTGATTCGAGTGAGTTATCCCAATGCATTATTATTATTACTTTATTATGTCCTATATTCTTCTTACCACACTGGGGAGAGGAGAGCGGGAGGGAGGACGAACCATCTGGGATGTTCAGGGCTTTGTTGATTTCTCAATTCAATCATTAAAATTACGCTGTTTTCGTTGCATGATTCAATCATTAACCTCACCCAAATCTCCTTCCCGTATTGAATGAGTTCGACCTTCAATTGTGTGTGTGTGTGTGTGCGCGCGCGCGCTCGCTCGCGTGGCCACAAATGAGGACGATGTTGTACTTCGCCAAAATATCGAGGTATACTACGCAGCACATCTGCATATGATTGCGTTTCTAATCTATAACTATCCCGAATGAAGACTGGTTCTCTGTCCGACCCACAACGTTTTCCCTCTCTCTCTCTCTCTCTCTCTCTCCCTGGTCTTCGTTTGGCCGGGGCAAGTCGGACGTGATTGATTGAATACGCTCTCTCCGATCACTTTCCAGATTCCACTATAGATAGGTGACCTTTCATTGTTGTAGACACGGGGCTAGTTCAAACAATGGACGGATAAAGCAAATCGACCGAAATATCAGTGAACCTTGAGAGTTCTAATGCGACTGTTGGGAAATGAGAATCATTCCGTATGGTGCATGGCAATCACCAATCACATCAACCTGCACCAGTTTGGGATGGATGCCATATGCCTCTGTAAGTTGGATAGGTAATTCGAATGTGAAAAAATCAGTGCTGTGTCGGTGTGACCTCGTAGCTCAGCTGGTAGAGCGTGCGCGGTAGAAAAAGCGTAGGCGGTGTCCATGCGTGGGTTCGAATCCCACTGAGGCTACGGAACTTTTCACAATCGCCGTACAAACTTCAAATCTGCCAAACAACAATTTGAACAAACTGCTTGTCTCACAATAACATTTCATTGATCAGCAGCTATCCGGAACACGTGCCCGTTTGTGTTGTGTTACATGGTCAGCCTCAGCTGCTGACTTAAACAGGAACCGGAAATGATCGCTTCGTTCGCTTTTATAACGCCATCTTTATATTCACCGTTCACTTGAGCACACAATCTGCGATTTTCGAAAAAATTCACACTAGATTCAAGATGGTACTTTTATTTCAATTTGGACCTTGGGTTATAAGTGTTCCGTGATCATAGTTGCTAATTTGATTGAACCAGTGAGGTAAAAAGTCATTTGAATAACTGTGTTGGGTGTTGTTCCTGCATGGCTGGAAAAAAACCCAGTTTGAATGATCCTGAACACATGTGTACGAACACCCTGATTGCATGTCAAGGCTATCATGCCTTCCTTCAGTGACCAGTGAATTGATCGAAGATGAATTTTTTGAGATAGTGCTATCCTGACAGTTTATCTCTCCGACAGGAAGTTTCATTTGCTAATGTGTCAGTTGGACTCACAGAGAGATAGATAGACAGACAGACAGACAGATAAACAGACAGACAGACAGACAGACAGACAGACAGACAGACATGGAGACAAGCAGCTACCTGTTTATCTGCTAAGGCTAAGCCACTATTCAACGCTGATCGGTGTCTTATTTATTACACTCATGACAGAGCAATATGTAACAAAATTAAATTGGTACATTTTTGTTGTTTCTTGTCGAACGTGAAATGAAAATTAGCGTGTATAGATGAACTACAACTGATAGTTTGGTATTTGTAATAACCTATAAAATAAAACATTTNATTTCTTATAAGAAGATCCATTTAATTGCATTCTGTTTTTCTGCATTTCCCGTTTTTAGCGGCTTGCCGGTACCTTATCCCTGGTCAGTTGTATTCTGTGTCTCGTGGCCAGCATCTTTTCCGGTCAGAAAGGCTCATTGATTGCCACTTATGGGACTGAATGTGTACCGTCCAATCCGCGATTGGCAACTGTGACTGTTTCCAATGACACAGATCCTCAGTCAACCGAAGATCCTCAATCCGGATTTGAGCAACAATGCTGCGTGGACGGTGCAGATCGGGTTTTGGGACCTCTGTGTCAGTGTTTCAATGTGAGAAACCAACTGATGTGGAGCTACCGAGGTATCACGTGTCGATACTTGTTCTCGTCTGTGAAAGACTATCTGATCCTACAATCGGCTCTAATGGCAGTTGGCACAGGAGTGTGTCTCTGGTTTTGGGTCGTTCTGATTGAACAATTTCAACCGGTCCCGGACGTGGGCAGTAGCAGCTGTAGTGAACTACAGACAGCGAAAAAATACAGCTTATCCTCTGTGAAAAACTCGATCGGCGAGACCACCACAACATCGTACGATGGAAAACGATTTTCCAGCGAGACCCCAAGCGATTCCAAACCCCGTGGACCGAATCATGCGCCCACTATCGTGGTTGATTCAACCGGTCAACCATCGACCACATACACCACGATACTTTCATCTCCACTGACCAAAACTATCCCGGTTACCTGTTGCACCGAGAGTGTGATTCGAGATTCAAAGTTGAATCGATCCACCAGATGTGTCACGGGATCGCGTCTACTGGATTCTCCATCAGAATCAGAAATGTCCAGACATTCCCGACAATCGTTCTCGCAACAATCTGCACCAGTACCAAACGGCTTGCAGATAAAACCAGTTCCGGCGATCACAAAAGATGCCTCTGGATGGACTCAGTCTGGGAGTACTTTTGATCGCCGTGGATCAGACAGTTCCCGAATTCCATGTGAAATACAGAAATAGACTAGTGGCACTAGTGGCACCAATCCGACCACAACTGGGGTTTTGACCCATATATCCAAATCACATCAGTTCTTTGGTACTAATTACTCATTTGGCCCAGGTTTCACGGCCAACTTGCATGTGCTCACATAATCGATCGATCGATCAATCGATCAATCAATCCATCAGTCAATGCCCACCCGCTGCAGGGTAATCACTCATTCNATATATACATATATATATATACATATACATATATACATAGACGTTGAACCGAACGAGAGCATTGTTCTGGAATTGTATGTGGACTTGGAGGTACGATAATCCGTCTGGGATATTGCGCAAACGCTCAAACGTCATTGGTTCACGGAACGATTTCGTTCCTTGTGGATAAAAGTGACACTTACGTCTAAAAATGCGTCCAACTAAACCATTGCATTTCATCCTCTGCATTTTTATCGATACACAGCATCATCGGATTTCGGTTAGTTTCTCCTACAAGCAGCTATCCAAATGGTGAACATTATGGCGGGGATGGTAGTTGAT